TGTTCCATTGTTGTGTGGCAAGAGCAAACCTCTCAGACAATGGTACTTCTGGCTCAGGCTTAGTGTATACAGGTGCAGACATAGCCTTCATTCTACTCTCCTCAGCCTGGATATACGAAAACACATCTCTAATAGAAGTAAGGGTTGGATAACTACCTAACACTTGTACCCTGGCATGCTCGTATCTCGGATGCAGACCACCCAAGAACTCATAGATTCGATTCCTTTTTACCATAGCATGAAATGCTTTAACATCAGCTGCACACACAGGTATGTAGTCGTGGTAGTGACCTAACTCTTCCCATTTACCACGTGAGTGTGGTAATATATAGCAAACTCTCCAGCTTGAATCTTGAAATATGTTGTTGGAGTTCAAACAGTTTTGCAAAATTACCAACCGAGGAATACGTCTCTTCCACATCCGTCCATAGCTCTTTAGCTGTTTTCACAAACAGAAACCCTTTGCTGATCTGTGGCTGCATTGACTACAACAACCACGTCATAACTAGTGCATTATTTGCACTCCACTCTTTGAATTCAGGATCGCTCTTGGAGGGATACGTGACAGTCCCTTCGATATGGTCGATCATCCTACGACCAATGATATGCTTACAAGCAGATTGAGCCCACTCCATATAGTTCGTCTCATCCAGTCTCGTAATACAAAGGCCTGAATGGTGATCACTACTCCCAATACTGGAGTCAGACTAGGAGAAGACCCAGCTCCTTTTGAAGTCACCTCTGAGCCAGACATTTTATCAAACAGTTTCTGGGTATACAATCCTCAGAAACAAAAACATCAACAAAATACGTAAAGAACCACTTCTCTAACACACAAACTTCATCTAAAAAGATTACCATCTTCTGAGATGCATAAAAAAGCGACACAGTCACCACACAAACCCTAGAAAGCAACAAGGTAGACCATACCAGAATCGCGAACGACGAAGAAAAAGCCGTTGTTTTAGAACCCCGCAAACACAAAAAAACATCAATCAAGACTGCAATAGATAAAAAACAGGTCCAAAAAACTTTTTTTCGGGGCGAACCCCGAGCAAGGGCGCATTACCCCTTGCAACCCCCAGCCAACTCACCGCATAGTTAGATCCGCGGTACATGTGGATGTGATTAACACTACTTCCTTGCAAACAAATCCCATCTTGGAATCTCTTCAAAACCCTTCACACCCACTAGAGTTTACATAAACTTGCCCTAGGGTTTCAACTACAAACCATGCTCTAATACTATGTTGACTTTAAGATATAATCAAATCAAGAGTAAGTGATAAAGAAGAAGAAAAAGAAAAGAAAGCGGATAAGAGAAAAAGAGAGAGAGATGGGGAAAGAGAAAGAAAAAAAAGAATACTTTCACCCTTTCACCACATTCTATTTATAATAACAAGCTTCAGAAATTACACATAAGCCCCAACATTATACAAGTAACAACAAATAAGCCCCTGACAATAGGAGGGTCATTGCTTGTCAGTGCGGGGAGGGAGATTGTGAGTGGATGTCTAAGCAGACGAGATTCCCAGGAACTTTGCTTTGGCTCGTAGATTTCCTCGGCTCTTCAGGATTTCCAAGAGCAGACACGCTCAGGTTGCTCTGACTATTATCAGCTTGATAACAAAAGGTTAACTTAAGACGTGCAGTTACACGGAGATTTTCATGATTGGGAGCTTAAGGAGATTACTGAGCCTTCCAACGTATTTTCTTTTTCTCTTTCGGGTTCCAGCCTCGGTTGTTGGCCATCTTGAGATGTTACAACGAAACTTCCTTTGGGGGGTTGTGGAGAGGAGTTTAAGTATCATCTTGTCAAATGGGAGCAGGTTTGCAGGCCTTTTAAGTTGGGCGGGCTTGGGATTAGGAGATTGGCCCCCTTTAACAGTGCTCTCCTCGGTAAGTGGCTTTGGAGATTCAGCAGTGAAAGGCATAGATTATGGAGAAGGGTTATTTCCTGTCGCTTTGGGGAGGAGAGAGGGGGGTGGTCAGCTAGGCCAGTCAGGTCTGCTAATGGAGTAGGGGTGTGGAGGGCCATTGGAAAAGGATGGGACGAGTTTTCCAAACATGTTAGATTCAAAGTTCGGGATGGAAGGTTTATCCGGTTTTGGGAGGATCCCTGGTGCGCGGGATAGGCCTCTGGCTCTTTTGTTTCCAAGGCTATTCAGGATTGCTGCTGACAAACATGCTATGGTTGCTAACTGCTATCGCCTTAATAGCGGGAGGTTATCTTGGGATGTGCGATTCCGGCGATCTTTTCAGGATTGGGAGTTGGATGATGTCACTGGCTTGTTGGCTCTCTTGTACAGACAGGAGGTGGAGGGCACTGGTGTTGACTCCCTGTTTTGGGTGCCCTCTTCTCAGGGGATGTTCCAGGTCCGGTCTTTTTTTGTGTGCCTTTCTGGTTTTCATGGCGCTTCCTTCCCGTGGAAGACGGTGTGGTTATCCAAGGCGCCTCTTAGGGTGGCCTTTTTCGTGTGGACTGCAGCTTGGAGCAAGATTTTGACTTTGGATAACTTGAGGAAGCGAAGACATATTATTGTTAATCGGTGTTGTCTTTGTAAGTTGAATGGGGAGTCAGTGGATCACCTGTTGCTGCATTGTCCTGTGGCTCATGATTGTTGGAGTCTCATTTTTGATTTGTTTGGTATTCATTGGGTTATGCCTCGGACACCTCGGGAATTGCTAGATATTTAGAGGGGCCAATGGGTGGGGGCTCAGGCGAGAGTCTTCTGGAGGGTAACCCCCTTTTGTGTTTGGTGGAGCATTTGGAAAGAGCGGAATAGAAGATCTTTTGATGGGAAGGAGTCCTCCATTAGGCTGTTGAAATTCTCTATTATTTGTACTCTTTTTTGTTGGGGTTAGGGGAGAGATTTTTCCTCCATTGAAGATGTTGTGGACTTTTTGGGCTCCTTGAGATCATAGTTTCAGTTTTTTGTATAGCTTGGGACGCGTTCCCCTTTTGAACGCCTTCTAATTCCTTTTACTTATCACAAAAAAAAAAGGTCACTGAGTTCCAAGCTTTGCTCTACAACTAGGTGGTGGTGGAGAGTGAGGGGATGGATGAGATGGTTTGGGTGGGTTCCTCAAGAGAAGTTTTTGAGGTTAGGTCTTCCTACTAGAGCCTGACTGAGATTCCAGGTCATTCTTTCCCTTGGAAGGCAATTTGTAAGTCCAAAGCTCCGTTAAAGGTGGCATTTTTTGCTTAGTCAGCTGCCTTCGAAAGCATTCTCACTCTTGACAACCTTGGAAGAAGACGACAAACTATGGTGAACTGGTGTTGCATGTGTGAGAAGATGGAAGAAATGGTGAACCACCTTCTTCATCATTGCCCATAGCATAAGGGATGTTTGGTCTATGTTCTTAGTTGCATTTGGCATGCTTTGGGTGTCTCCCGATTCCACAGTGGACATGATTAAGGCTTAAAGAGGGTGTATAGCGGAGAGTCAAGTAGGAGATGCGTGGAGGGCCATTCCCCATTGTTTATGGTGGGCCTGTGGCGCCTTTTGTTTTCTCTTTGTAACACTCCCATGTTGCGAGCTTTTAATGAAATCTTACTTATCAAAAAAAAAAAAACAAAACAAAAGAGTAAGTGATTTACATTCATAAAACATATGAATCATATCCAAACATGAACTTTTTATTTTCCAAATAATTGTGTTTTTTTCTGGTTTTTAACCTAATTATTTGGATTTTTTGTTTTAATTATTTTAATATGTATTTGTATAAGTATACTATTAAACTACGGATACCTGTGTATTATTCATTATACATAAATATGTCATACTATACATATATTAATATGCATCAATCTGTTTCAGATTTATAAAAATAAAATAAAAATAAATAAATAAATAAAAGAGTAAATAATGAAATGAAACTACAAAATCAGAAAATCTTTAAAGTTGACAAAAAACTGGAAAATCATAAAAAGTACAGAAAAGCTAAATACTTGATGGATATAGATCATCAAGTATGTTTTTAGTATACATAACAAGTTTATTATATTTACTTACTTGACATTCTGCTTCATTGTTTTAAAGTATTGTATTTGATAATAGTTTATGTATTCCATATATAAATATATTTGTGACCATAAAATTAGTGAAAAGAATAAATTAATACAGTTTTTTTTTTTTTTCCTTAGTTGGTACTCACACACCCATACCTCCACAGAGGCTTGAACCCTGACCTCCCTTTGAGAAGTAGGGGCTTGGTACCGCTCACAATGCTTTTTAATTTATAAGTCATTATTCATATAGAATCACCTTTAGATATTCAATAAAATTCAGTAAAAACATGCGTTTGATGGGTTATAAAGTTAAAATTTGCATCTCTCTTTGTTTTGATCAAGATTTGTGAAGTTCAAAATATTTCATGACTTCAACAGCTGATAAGATCATGTAACCTCTGCGCAACCCGTAATAACATCACCATGTTCATGACCACATCGGTGGCCACAACCGCATTCTAAAACCTAGTGTACAATGTCACTAATTTGTATATGTGTGTGTTGTGTATATATATTACTTTCCAAAAATCTATATATATATATATATATATATATATATATATATATATATATATATATATATATATTTCAAGTGATACAAAAAAGACGAAAGAAGAAAAAAATAAAAATAAAAAAAATAAAGGAACAATAGCAAGTTTTACATCATGCCTAATACCAGCTGTGGAAGATCGACCAAACAAGCAAGTTGATGACCAACTGTTAAATTATATTCATAATATATGGAATTAGATGCACCATAATGAGAAGTACCAAAAAAATTGAAAAATGTGACAAAATAAATCATTACCAAAAAAATATGAAAAATGTGACCAAAAATCAATCATTACCATCTATATACATAAATTTACTCTCACTAAAAGCTACAACAACATGCTCATTGTCTTCTCATGAGCTTCACTGTTAGAAATGGATCAACTGAAACAACATAATGAAAAATTAAAAGAAAAGGCTACCAAGAATTGCATTACAGAAATAGGACACCTTCTTGAGCAACAATTTGTCCTTGTTGCATGCTTATCTGATCAATTAGCAATCGCATTTGACTTGTACAATGATTTTCTGATTCGACCTGTTATGATCCAATAAATTTAGGACATGTTAGAGATTAGACAGCTCATATTCTGGGCAAAGTTTTTTGCCTCACAAACAGATTTCAAGACATTCAGAAGCTGTTAACTAGACAAGGCAATTATTCAGCATTTATCGCAGAATTCATTGTAAAAACCACATAGATGATTATTATATTTATTAGGTATACCCAAGACATGTGGTGTGTAATATGGAAGCAGTTAGTCGATATTCTCTTGGCAGGAATTCACTGGTAGGATTCTTCATATCCTGGATTTTATTTGGAGACCATCTTTAACGTGAAAGTCAGAAATCGCTAAATCCACTCATAGCCTAAAGGAAAAGATTGGCCAAATGCAGGAATCCCATCAAATACAACATGGTTCGTCAAATTGTGAATGTCACTTTGTGTGCATATTTCGCCCTATTCTATGCTCTTAAAAATACAGTAAGTCAAAACTCCTGCAGTCTTCAACCATTGGACTACCATTGCTGTTGTTAGACTAATTCTAGTGACATTAGATGCTATTGAAGGATTTAAATATTTAAGTTACGCCCTCTCTAACAGCTTAAGCTTTTGGAGTAGATGGTTGTTAACATGGTATAAGAGCCAAAGGTCTCGAGTTCAAAGTTCAAACCTCAACGTCACCCTAATAATTTAAAAATAGAAACACGTGTTGGACACTTGGACCAAAAGAAGGCCACACATGAGGGGGCGTGTTACAGGATTTAAATATTTAAGTTACACCCTCTCTAACATCTTAAGCTTTTGGAGTAGATTGTTACTAACAGACACAATGTGTGATATTATGTGTAGCAACTGCTATGTTTTTCTGCTCTGGTTGATACAAGTAATAGCAATATTTTTCTGTTGCAATTATTTTTTTTTTCCTTTTTATTCTTCTAGTCATTGATTTGATTGATAGAATACTTTTAACAATCAAATTTACATTATGCCTACTGGTAACTGGATAAAAAAGTTAGGGTCTTCTTTTTGGTTTGTTTGGGTTCAGTCTTCGAGAGGCTTGATTGATGCTTGGAGAGGGTGCTATGCGGGATCCCACGCCCGTGATTTTTGGAGGGTGGTGCCCTTATGCATTTGGTGGATGTCTATGGAGGGAGCAGAATAGAAGATCCTTTGATGGAGAGGAATCTTATATTGGGACTTTAAAAATGGACTTAAAAAGGCTTCACGTCTCCACAGGCCACAAGGTTGTTACAGCACAATTGTGGGTCATTACACCATTGAATTTTACTAGTAAGTATACATTAGTGCAAAGGTGCTTGGGTCTCGATATCACTTACGTGATGGCTATTGCAATAAATAATAGTCATTATTTAAAATCTTGACTCATTTACTTGAAAACAAGGATATAAACCATTGACAGATGACTACAAGGGTGAATCAAATATGCAAAACAAGTAGACATACTGCAGCAGCAAGCCGATCGGCATATTCTGATTGTGTAGCAAAAAGCCGCATCTGGGAATAAATAAAGAATTCAAAATAATAGTCAGTAATAAGAAAGAATTTACTTATCAAAAAAAATTATATGGTTCTCTGTTATAATTATAAGTCCAATAACGGGGGAGCATGAGGCTTGAAGAAGAATATTCCTGTTTCATATGTAATGCAATATAGTGCAACAGCAGCAACACTAAATGGTTAAACAATGTCATTACCACTCTGAATGTGGTGATTTAAAAAGAAAAAGTCCATTGTCAAGTGTTAGTCCCTGTTTATCGAGGCCGTTAGGGGGTGCTTGAAGGGATAAATTGGTCCAAAATAACTTTTGACACTATTTGCACAAAACGAATATCCATAGACTCTAGCCCATTTCTCAAATTTTGGAAAACTAAGTTTTTGTCAGTGCACCAAGGAATAGGTGATTGCAAAAGGCTTAATTGGGCCCATATCCTAAAGAATGCCGACTAATGGCCTTCGTTCACATCAGCATGTTACTGAGGAAGGGTATGCTTTGTACTCAATATTCAAAATTTTAATCATTATGCATCAATGATTTGTTTCACAGTGGCATCAATGTCTTTGACAGGACATATGTTCCTTCCATAATAAACTTTGTTGAGCTAAGATTACTCAAATTATAAGCATTTCTGAATGTTGGAAAATATTGTGTTATCAAGCTTTCTTAGATTCAAATTACCCAAATTCCTTGTGATTTCAGGTTCTCCTTCAACATAGAGACATCAATCTTATGCTTCGATGCTACTATTGCACTTCCTAGAAGCAAATTGAATTTCGAATTAAACGCCCCATAAAAAAGCAACTCAATGACAACTAATTTTTAATAAGAGACCTGTTCAGTTTTGAATTACATGGTGAATTTCGAAACTTCTAAAACTAGAACTAACATGAGGACCAAGAAACTTCAAGGGGAACCAGCAAACAACACAAAATACACAGCAACCACAACACTTAATAAAGTCAAAAAGCTCCATAGGTTTCCATTTGAATTTAAGAATACAGATAGAAGAATATTGAATTCTTCAATACCAGACTAATCTACATTTTTTAGCACAGTATTTCAATGTCAATTTATATCGACATGCATACAATATATATATATATATATATATATATATATATATATATATATTATATGTTGCATAATCACGTACATGTATAAATTACTGTGTGTGAGCGGATTAGGGTTGTATTGAAAAACTGAAAGCAATGAAGTGGGAAGTAGAGGCAATTGACCTGGATGTAGATGAATGCTATTGCGGCGACGAGAAGAAGGAATCGGAAATCGCAGGAAAATTTGGCCATTTGTATGTATGTATTGGTGTTCTAGACTATAGTGATTGTTGGGATCAAAGCTTCAGAAAATAAAGCTTCGATCTCGCAGGAAATGATGAATCAGAAGAGGTCCGCCATACCAAGCTCCGCGATTCAATTGGCTCGAGTCGCTTCTTCTTCTTCAAGTCAACAATTTCTTCGCCACTGTTGTGTACAGTAACAAACGGCTGAGATTAATTCGGCTGAGTCAACCGTCGAAGTTAATTGCCCAACAAAATGCATTTTTGAAAAAAAAAAAAAAAAGTCTCATGCCACAAACCCGTTATAATTTTAAAATGTTGTGCAATAACAACGCCTCGTTTTTATATGAGGAAAAAAAACAAATTTTATTTATAGGACAAATTACGCTCCTATAGGTTAAATTTTACTTGGATAAAAATTTTGATTTTAATTTTCAATTAGATTACAAATCAGATTTTCATATAAAAAGGATGTGAAATGTCATTAAAACCCTCACTTATTTAATATATTTTAATATAACAAAGGGTTAAATGTAAAAAAAATCTCCCTGAACTATTGGCAAATTGCAACTAACTCCCCCCTAAACTATGAATTTGTTGCATTTCAGTCCATTCCGGTGACTGACTTAACCGGAAAAATAAAAAGTTTGATTTACTCTTTAAGTAGTTTTGACCAAAAGTTGACCGTCGTCCATGTTCTCTCTCTTTCCCCTTTCATAACTCAAATTGCAGACACCAAAGAGGAGAGGCTTGATTTGGGAAAGCCAACAGTCCTTTGTTGGACATAGGGTTTGCCATCATACTACAATATACTTAATGGGAATATATATAAACAATATATATGTATACATTTTAGGAAGGAGCCAGTGAGAAGAGAGGCTGATTTGGGGGAAGCCGCTGTCATTACGAAGAGGAGAGGAACGGCGTTGCAGTCGGTTGCCATTATTTCCTTAGCCGAATTTGGCCATTCAAGAACAGCTCGTCAGCGATTGAGGCATCAATTAGCTCAATCGTCTCCACCGGCCGAGCACACCGCCAAGCTCGCCGCTGCCATTACTCCTCGAACCGCCCCATCGCGACTGAGTTCACTCCACCGTCTTCTCCACAATCGTCCTCTTCACTGCCAGCCCCCATTATCCGAAGCCAAGCTCGCAACCATTCAGTCCTGCTGGCGGCCATCAAACCCAATCACTGCCGAGCTTCTTCATAACAGCCATCACCTGAATCGCGACTTCTTTAGTCGTTGATATGCTACCATCCCGAACCAACCATCTCCACCGGCCGAGCACACCTCTATTCTTTATTCCGAGCACCGCTGCAAGCTCACCGTCGAGCTTCTCCTCATCCGCCGATTTCCCCGTTCCGAGCTCACTGTCACCTCCATCACAGCCGATACCATCAAAGCCGAGCTAGCCGCCGTGAGTTCACCATCACAGCTCGCTACTCACCGCCCCAAGCTCTCCACGGCTGAGCCAACAGCCAAGCTCTCCACAATCGGCCGATTCTTGCCCGTCGTCCATCTCTACCAACCTCGCCAGTCAGAGCTCCACCATCCGAGCTCTCTGTCATCGTCTCCACCGGCCAATTTCTCCACAGCCTAGCCCTCCCTTATTTACCGACCGCCGATTCAATCCAACCGAGCTCACTACCACTACACCACCTTTCCGTGACTGCAAGCCGCATCATTCCCAATTCATAGCACTACACAAACAACGACATGGTTATAGTCTTTCCAAACCCTATGACTGATTTTAGGAAAAAAAGGTTCAATCAATCTAGGGCAAGTAATTTATGGATTTTGATTACGATTTCTGAAAGGTGTGTTTGGGCATGAATTCTTTGAGTTTCGTGGTGGTTATGTTAATGGTTCCAAACGGTGGTGGTGGTGGTCGCAGACGGTGATGGTGGTTATAGGACAATTTGGTATTTTCATATATGGAAGGGCATTATTATCCTAAAATTTTAGTTTATCTATCATGTGAGAATCACACGCTCATTTTGGATGGCCGGTAGCCGAATGGAGTGATCTGTAACAATTTGTATAGTTCAGGGGGTTTTATGCAATTTTAATAGTTTAGGGGGTTAGTTGCAAGTTCCCAATAGTTAAGGGGGGTTTTTTGCATTTAACCCTATAACAAATATTAAAGTTTTTAAAAGACAAAAGTACCCTAAAGGAAACCTCTTCATCTTTCTCCTCAATCATCTTAACAACTTCCAATTCAAAACCCACCACCAAAACCATAATAACTGTAATGACCGGTTCTTTTCCTATTTTTACAGATTTTCTTTTTCTGTTGATTTTCCTTTTCTAAGTACGGGTTTTGTTTTCTTCGGGTCATCTTGAGTGTTAGGGAATAGTTCCCGATACTCTTTCTTTTGGGATATTGGTATCGTCTTTGTGAGGACTGCATTATCTTCTTTCTTTTTTTGACATTTTCCTTTTTCGTCCTTTTCCCATTATCGTTTCTTTTCGCGTAACCTCACGGTTTATGTTCGGATTTGATCCCAGCTTTGCATGCATCCATTTCTTTTAATCTCAATGAAATGTGTAGTTTTACTTTTTTTGAAAAGCATGCTACTTGTTTACTTTTCGCTGTAGGGGTATGGATGCATAGTCTCTTTGGAAACATTTACGCTTTTGTGGTGTTTTGTGTAATTAACTTTTGTAATTATTTTTTATCTTAGGGACCTTTTTGTGATTTAATTTGCAAGATATTTTGAGGAGAGACCTTTTTGTAATTTTTGAAAAAGTGTGACAAGTGTCACACTTTCATTGGTCCACTTGTAAGTATTCCATTGGTGACACTTGGGAGCCTTGGATTGGTGACATGTGGAGGGTGAGGATTCACCCACTTGGTGGCCTAGGACTGGTCCACTTGTTGGCTTAAGATGTGGACAAGTAGGGCTTAGATGAAGCCTTAGGAGGAGGTTTAGGATGGTGATAAGTGGAAGGACAAGATTGAGTCTTGCATTTGTGTGTGAGATAGGTAGTGTGTGAGTGTGTGTTTTTGACTATCATTGACTCTGTGAGTGGAGGAATACATGATTTTCATTTAGGTTTTTCATCTCTTTCTCTCCCAAAAGCCACCACTGTTGCAACCTTTAACCTAGACCTTGCACCTTGGTTTTGAACCTTTTCCCTCACCTTTTGGCTTAGTCTTTGGAAGACAAAAGCTCCCCTTCATCCACCTCTACAAAACCCTTGTCCGGTTTCTTGATTTGCCTTTACCTTCTTTGGATTATAAAGATTATATTCTCTATTAAGGTAGGGGTTGTTGTATGTTTATTTCCTAAATGTTTAATTGTTTTTAAGGTTCTATATATGTTGTATACATACTTGTTGAATTGTAGGATTGCATTAAGATGTAATTTTTATATACTTGACCTTAAGTTTAATGATTCAAAGCATGTATAGTTTATTTATCTTGTTTAGAGATGCTATTTAACTTAGTAGATTACTAAATTCTAGAATATATAATTATCTTGTGTAGAGATGCTACTTAATTTAGTAGATTACTAAATTCTAGAATATATATTTGTCTTGCATGAGATGTTATTTAATTTAGTAAGTACTAAATTCTAGAATATATATTTATCTTGTGTGGAGATGCTATTTAATTTAGTGGCTTACTAAATTTTAGAATTCATGTTTGTTGAAATATGGAATTCTTATAGATTATTATTAATTACCTTGTATGTTTATTACTATGTTGTTGTTAATTTAGTACTTATGCTACTATGGTAATTAGACTTAGCTGATATGTGATATCAATTGTAGCATGTAACAAGTCGCATATTGAAGACTTGACATTTTATATGCCTTGTTATGTGCAACGAATCGCACATTGAAGATTCGACATTTTGAATGCCATGTAATTGGAAACTATAGTGCATGATTTGTGTTAGTCCATGTATGGTTGTGCATGGTAGGTGTTTAAATGCATTTTACTTAAAGTGTTTAAGTTATGCGTTTCTTGTTGATTTTGGAAACTTGGGGCATTGACCTTTGAATGGCTAGATGTAATACCCCTAATTTTACAAAGGATAGTTTCAACATTTTAGTTAATTGTTTTATTACATTTTATTTGTTTATTTGTGTATTTGCCTATTTGTTTAATTGTTTTATTTAATTGAATTATTTATTTACTTGTTTTTATTTAATTGAATGATGTGTTTAACTGTTTTTATTTAATTGAGTATTTGTTTTAATTATTTTCTTTCATTAATGTATGCTTATGTGGAAGTTTAATTATTTGTTTGCAGTAATTGTTTAATTAGAGTTTTATTTTCTTTTAGGTAATCACGTATTGGGTATAACCGACTTAGTTATAGAGTTAATTGTTTTTCTTTTCCTTCTTTGAACATAATTAGAATTACGGTTTGTGTTTTTCCTAAGCCTATAAATATAACAATATGCGTCTGTCTAGGGTTGGAAAACCCTATTCACGTACAGAGAGACTTGAGAGGAAAGCAGAGAGAGACTTGAGAGGAAAATAGAGAGAGACTTGAGAGAAAAACAGAGAGGACCAAGGAAGAAGGAGGAGGTTGATTGTGGGTTAGAACCGGAACAGTAGAAGGCTCAACGATATTCAGAACTCGCCGGGAAAATCTAGAACGACGGCGTTGAGATTTTAATTCAAAATCTAACAGGCAAGTTTTATATCTAACTCTCTCCCTTTGACTCGTGTTCTTTACATACCTAGCTCAATTCCAGGAGTAAATAACTTTAAGTTAATCTGGGTTACAGGTTGAATTTAATTAAAACAGTTTTTGTAGTAACAAATTGTTAATTGCTCGAATTTAAGTTTTCATGCGTGAACACTGTTTTTAATTGGTTTAATTAATGCATAATGGATCTAAATAACTTCTGAAATACTTTGGGACGTAGTTCAGACATCTAAGAAATTTAGCAACGGAGGACGGGTGAATTGGAAGTCGCCGGAGAAGACGAAATGGATGAAAACAGGAGGAGAGCTAGCTCCCTTTTGAAGGGAGACAGCTCCCCAATCAAAGAAGCGGCTCCCCACAAGGGGGAGCCGGCTCTACACACTCTAGAGGCGGCTCCCTATAACGACCCACTCCACCACATTATGATATTGTCTACTTTGGGCCTAAGCCTGCACAATTTTGATCTTGGGCTTTACCCCAAAAGGCTTCACACCAATTGGAGTGACACATCTACATATAAGCACTTCACCTTTCCTTTCCCTTACCCAGGAGATATGGGATTGTGCACT